CGTTGAATATTTTGTGCCAATCCCTTCTGGCCTGCAAAGTTTCTATTGAGAAATCACCTGACAATCTAATGGGAACTCCCTTATAAGTAACTAGTTGCCTTTCTCTTGCTGCTTTTAGGGTTATCTCTTTGTCTTTAAACTTTGCCATTTTAATTATAATGCGCCTTGATGTGAGCCTGTTTGGGTCCATCTTCTTTGGGACTCTCTGTGCTTCCTGGGCTTGTATGTCTGTTTCCTTTGTCAGGTTAGGAAAGTTTTCAGTCATTATTTCTTCAAATAGGTTCTCAATCCCTTGTTTTCTCTCTTCTCCTTCTGGTACCCCTATGGTGAGAATATTGGTACACTTGCTGTTGTCCCAGAGGTCTCTTAATCTATCCTCATTTTTTTAGATTCTTTTCTCTTTCTACAGTTCCAGTTGGCTGTTTTCTGCTGCCTTGTTTTCCAAATTGCTGATTTAATCCTCTGCTTCATTTAATCTGCTGGCGATTCCTTCTAGTGCATTCTTCATTTCAGTTATTGTATTCTTCATTTCTGACTGGTTCCTTTTTATGGTTTCTATGTCCTTTTGTATGTTTGCTATCTCTTTGTTGAAGTTCTTGATAAGTTCCTTGAGCATCCTCCTTATAACCACTGTTGTGAACTCTATCTCTGGTAGATGGCTTGCCTCCATTTCATTTAGTTCTTTTTCTCGAGTTTTCTCCTGTTCTTTCATTTGGGGTGTATTTCTTTTTTCCCCTCATTTTGGATGCCTCTCTGTTTGTTTCTATGTATTAGGTAGATATGCTGTGTCTCGCAGTCTTGGTCAGGTGGTAGTAGGTGCCCTCATGTAGTAGGTGCCCTGTGGGGCCCAGTGGCACAGTCTCCCTAGTCACCTGCTTTGAGTGATCCAGGAGTGTCCTTTGTGTGGGCTGTGTGTGTGCCCTCCTGTTATATTGAGCCTTGATTGCTACTGGCACTTCAGTGGGTGGGAATTACCCTCAGGCTGATTGGTTGTGGTGTTTGGCCACATCCACAGCTTACAGGCTGCTGTGTGGGGGTAGGGAGGGCTTACCACACTGAGTGGGGTTTGCCCCAGTGGGCTCTGGTGCCTATTGAGACCATCCTTTGGGTGTGCCACTTTTGGGGCTAATTGGGTGGTGCCCTGCTGTGGTCTGAAGCCAGTCTCCAAGTATGTTGGTTCTGGGGCTTGCTTTCTGGCCTAGTTTCTTTGTGGATGAGAGACCAAACAAAAAGTATCACTTAGCCCAGTACCAGGAGGACTAAAATAAAGCTATCATTTTGTACAGAATAAAAGAATTATTCCTTTCACTTCTTAGGTTATTCTTCTGTAGAGCTTCCTAATGTAACACAATTTTTCTCATTTTATTCCTAACAGAACAATACAGTATATGTGAGAGGCAATTCAATACATGTTTATCCCTTGTATCGTATCATTCTGTCCCAAAGCTGCATGCCTGAACTACCTTATTTTGGTAACTCACTGAATTGCTTTTACTGAATTGTACTTTGGCTTTGTTGGACCTAAATTGAGAGACACTGTAATAAACAGAAGCTGCTGTAGTAGTTATTACAGGGATGTGGAGATGATGGCATCATTCCTAGGTCACACAGGGTCCTTTGCTAACACTCAAGAGAGAACTCTCTCTCTCAGAGCTCAGGATTAGGAAAGGCTGTGTTTTGTCTGGAGGACACGTCTGCTTTGATCTTGTGGACACCATAATTCCTGTACATGGATGTTGTTTCTCTTTTCTCTGATGGCTTAGAAAGTTTAGAGCTAAATTCATATTTTTCCCTTAGCAACTGTTTCAGAATATGAGCATGTTTTATATTTTCACACAAGTAGTCCTCTGGCTCAGATTGCCCAAGTAATTTATTTTTACTTTTTAATTTTTCTTATTTTATTGGGTAACTGTGTGTTTTTTCCAGGACCCATCAGTTCCAAATCAAGTCATTGTCCTTAAGTCTAGTTATGGAGGGCACAGCTCAGCTCCAAGTCCAGTTGCCGTTTTTTTTTTTTTCAATCTAGTTGTGGGGGGCACAGCCCACCATTCCATGTGGGAATCAAACTGGCAACCTTTGTTGTTAAAGAGCACGCACTCTAACCTACTGAGCCATCTTGCCGCCCTATTTTTACTTTTTGTATTGTATATATTTTTGTACATTAATTTAGCCCTTTTGTGGGATAAGATCTGGTGTGGATGGATGATTACATACATATATACACATTTTAAAGAATAAAAAAAAAAAAGCACAAAATTTGTTTTTAAATGTTCTTGGAAGCTCCCAGTTCTCTTTCATGAATGATCTTGTTTGTTTCTATGACATTCCTCTAGTGAGTAATAAGTTCCTTCTCTCAAAGCTGACTTGTTTTTCATAAAGCACCACCAAAATAAAGCAATCTGTTTGTAAATCCAAATTTCAGTAGCAAATGTTTGCACAAACAAGTGCCTTCTCCCAAGATGGGACTCATGAAACCTTTGGAGCTTTAGAGAATAAACTTAGATCTTTCAACATAAGTAGGCACCCAGGGTAAACAGAAAAAGGAGTAAGAATTCAAAACTTTTTCTTTTTTGTTAACTAAAATCATGATAAGAAAGCAAACAAACAACAACAGAAAAACCCCACCAAAACCAGAACTTGGGGCATGAATGACATTTGTCATATCTGATGAAGCATCCTTTTCTGTTAATACAATCCCTCTTAATTGTTTTGAAAGACACAATTTGAATCAACACAGAGAATATGTTACCAGTAAGCTATTTAGGTGATCTACAAGAAATATGCAACCATTTGAAAAAATATTTTCGTTATGTCCTAAGGTAAAAGTTTCCCTTAGATTTATTTGCTATTACATAACAATTTTCAGGAATATGGGCTACTATATTGAAAAATCTAACCATACAGAAATTTTCTCTTTAGGAATATAGGAAGGGTTACCTAACTTTTAAATTGTTCTCAGTTGAAATTCCAAGTGTCGTTTGACTGGTACTAAAGAGGAAGGAAGTTAAACCTGACTTCAAACGTTGCCTTCAAATACCAGATATTGATCTGACCCCTTCCCAATACCTCCTTCTTTCCCTACCTGTGTTCCTCATTCCCTCTAATTCAAGGAGACCACCCCTTTCAAGATTCTAGAACATCAGTATACCATGCCATTGTGGTATACCATATCATTGTCCTCTAGTTTCCTTTAAAGACGTCCCCCATTTTTCCCACAACCTGACTTCTGGATCAGTTGTCATGGATCAGGATACCTGTGATACTCTCTTCCAATTCTTTTACTATTCCAGCTTCTATATTCTTTTAGCTGCCTTAAAAATTAGTAAATTGACCTTTTCTGAGCATTGGAAA